ATATTTTCTCCGCACTGTTTTTTAAAACATTTTTCGTATTACATGCCCCATCTCATATCACATTAACCTAAATAAAAATGTCATTATCCATTCAGTTCGACAGACAGCAGGCAGAGTATGGTAGAAATTACAATCACGCCAGCTGACAACAAAGCATTCTAATCATGAGCAGACAGAAGAACCGAGGGTAGGCAGCCGGTCCAGCCCCCATTTTGCACCGTCCAGGCATACGACTGGGGTCAACAAGGGGAGACCCTTCTTTATACACAGGACACGCTTCTGAAGAGTTGCGTGTAGATCAGATTTCAAGTTGCGTCCCTGTTTTGTTGCATTAAGGAAGCTTCTAGCTTGATATCTAAAGAGACTTCCTTTCAAATGGCATTTTTCTTTTTACCATGTTACTATTCCTCTGAAATAAATCGAAAAGATATTTTGGCATAAGCAATTATATTAAAGCACAGTTCACTTGAACTACTAATTTTATTAAAATAATGGAAGGAAAGGTGGTCAGTGAGCCAGTCATAGGAATGTGGCTTAGACAGTATTGAGTTCTCCATCATTAAGTGAGTCTGAGATTTACTGAGAGTAACAGCCTAGAGGCTATTAGAAGTGACCCCTTGGCCCATACTTTTGTACTAATGGATTATTAAATTGATGGTTTGTGAAAATTTAGAAAAGAATGCAGTAGTTGTAAGAGTCCGCTCATAATTACCAAGATAGTAATTCAGAATAGTCATCTTCATTTCTTTTCTCCCTTTCTTTCTTTCTCTCTCACTGTCTCTCTTTTTTTTTCCTTTTGTTTAGTGGACTTCAGGATAGATAGATGAGATAAATTACATTTCTGTTTTGGCAAGTCACTTGACAAAGTCTTTCTATGCTAACAGTGATAAGATGGTGCCTGACAGAACCTTTATTTAGGTTCATGCACAGTTGGCCAAAGAGCTGGAAACAGTGATACTGACCAATTCCATGGCTGCTGAAAGTAGAGGGCCATAGCTCTGTGTCTGATCCTGCGTATACAGTGACAAACCAAAGGCTTACAAGGCACACTGACCAACCTTCAAATGGAACAAAGAAGGAATAGCCAAGGATACAGGAGATGAGTTTTGAATGCGTGAGTACACCCTTGGTCCACCCATGCCTAGTACAATCAACCAGCACTCTAAACCCTTATGGCTCGATGAGCAGAAAATCCTTCCCTAGCTTTCCTCTACAAATGCTCCCTCCAAGAGTCTCTGCAGTAGGGAACACAGGAAGGGTCTCGGATACTCTGCCATCTCTCCACTGGGTGTGTAGGTGTGTTGTGCTTTAAATATATACTCCTTGACCTGTTGCCTGGCTGCCCACAGGTTCCTGCACTGAGGAACCCATGCAATCCTGAGCTCAGACCAGCTCGCTCACTCTCACTCAACAGAGGTGCCCTTCTGCTTCTCTGACTATCCCCCACGGACAGTAGGGAGGCCCCTGGGGACACAGCACTTTCATTACACCCCAGACCATGTAGGGCTGGCTTGGAGGAAGTTACGGGAAGGAGGGGTCCAACAAGACCGTGTGCCGCTCCAACCTTGGGCAGCAGCAACCCAGGCTGGCCCCCTACCAGGCCTCTCCAATCACCTGACTGTCTCAGGGCAGGGAAGAAATGGCTCTGCTCAGAACAGATGGCAGGACAACTTTCTACAGAGGTACATGTTAGGTAAATGTAAAGCCTTTCTAATGAATGGACACAAGCGTCAAAAAACCAACTGCACCTGATGATGACTCATGGAAAGAAAATTTGTGGTTTTCGTTGACCTGAACCTCAGTATTTGCCTGTGTTATGTATCTTCAGTCAACACATACCTGGCTTTGCAACTGACATGCAGGGAAGTGATCTCTTCATGACTTACGGGACTGCACCTGAGGTGCTGCTCCATTTATAGGACTGCCTTTCAGGAGTGAAGTGAAGTCGCTCAGTGGTGTCCAACTCTTTGCGGCCCCATGGACTGTAGCCTACCAGGATCCTCAGTCCATGGGATCTTCCAGGCAAGAATACTGGAGTGGGTTGCCATTTCCTTCTCCAGAGGATCTTCCTGACCCAGGGATTGAAGCCAGGTCTCCCGCATTGTAGGCAGACGCTTTACCATCTGAGCTACCAGGGAAGCCTTTCAGGAGTGATGCTGATTAAAAGAGAGAGAGAGAAGTAAGAGTGAAGAGTGTAGGCAAACTATGTGGTGCCCAGAGTAGCTGAAGCACTAGGGAATGATGGTCCAGCAGATGCTGAGGGGTGAGGGTCAAAACTTGCTGTCCAGGTATCTGAAGCATCCAGGTGGCTCACTGGTAAAGAATCCACCTACCAACGCAGGAGACGCAGGATTGACCCCTGGGTTGGGAAGATCCCCCTGAGGAGGAAATGGCAACCCACTCCAGTATTCTTGCTGGGAAAATCCCATGGACAGAGGAGCTGATGGGCGATAGTCCAAGTTCAAGTTCAGTCACTCAGTCGTGTCTGATTCTTTGTGACCCCCTGGACTGCAGCATGCCAGGCTTCCCTGTCCATCACCAATTCTCGGAGCTTGCTCAAACTCATGTCCATTCAGTCGGTGATGCCATACAACCATCTCATCCTTTCTCATCCCCTTCTCCTTCTGCCCTCAATCTTTTCCAGCATCAGGGTCTTTTCCAGTCAGTCAATTCTTTGCATAAGGCAGCCAAAGTATTGGAGTTTCAGCTTCAACATCAGTCCTTCCAATGAATATTCAGGACTGATTTTCTTTAGGATGGACTGGTTGGATCTCCTTGCAGTCCAAGGGACTCTCAAGAGTCTTCTCCAACATCACAGTTCAAAAGCATCAATTCTTCAGTGCTCAGCTTTCTTTGTGGTCCAACTCTCACATCCACACATGACTACTGGAAAAACCATAACTTTGAATAGATGTATCTTTGTTAGAAAAGTAATGTTTCTGCTTTTTAATATGCTTTCTAGGTTGGTCATAACTTTTCTTCCAAGGAGCAAGTGTCTTCTAATTTCATGGCTGTGGTCACCATCTGCAGTGATTTTGGAGCCCAAGAAAATAATGTTTCTCACTGTCTCCATTGTTTCCCCATCTATTTGCCATGAAGTGATGGGACCAGATGCCATGAGCTTAGTTTTCTAAATGTTGACTTTTAAGCCAACTTTTTCACTCTCCTCTTTCACTTTCATCAAGAGGCTCTTTGGTTCCTCTTTGCTTTCTGCCATAAGGGTGGTATCATCTGCATATCTGAGGTTATTGATATTTCTCCCAGAAATCTTGATTCCAATTTGTGTTTCATCCAGCCCAGCATTTCACATGATGTATTCTGCATATAAGTTAAATAAGCAGGGTGACAATATACAGCCTTGACATACTCCTTTCCTGATTTGGAACTAGTCTGTTGTTCCATGTCCAGTTCTAACTGTTGCTTCTTGACATGCATACAGATTTCTCAGGAGACAGGTCATGTGGCCTGGTATTCCCATCTCTTTAAGATGGGCTATAGTCCATGGGGTAACAAAGAGTCAGACACGACTATGTACACACACACATGAAAGAAGAAAGAAATGAAACCAGCCAGGGGTTGTTAGAGGGAGTCAGATTCTGCCTCAGTACAACAATATACCTTCTAACAAATAGATTAACATTTTACAACCTTTCCCAGTGCCTCAAGCCTTAACTGAACAGTGGTTTTATATAATCATTAAAACTCATTCATTCATTCAACGAATTACTATGTACCAAGTGCTGTTCTAAGTGCTGAGGATACAAAAATGAACAAACAGACAAAAATCTCCCCTGATCTCAGAAACTGAATATTTTAGTGTCAAAAAAGTAAAATCTAAACATAAGCAACATTTCAAAGGAAGTTTTCCATAAGAAATACTCAAAACACTAGACCACAGCATGTTGTTTTAGCTATGGTGTCAGTCCTGATTGTGACCTGGTTCAAAGGATTCCCTCTGATGTTTCCAACTTGGCTTTTCAGAAATACAGGAGAAAATAAAAGGTCATGTGGGTGTCCATTGGGTTCCACAAAGAATTCCACTCACTGAAGTCAGACTTGGGTCAATGTGGTGGGCAGCCAAAATGAGAACTAAATTTGTTGAAGCCAGATCATAGTGACATGAAAGTTCATAATCCCTACCATTCTTTCTGTGTGTATGTTAGGTATTTTCCATAAGAAAGATATTTTAGTATTCAAAAAAGAAATTCAGGGGACTTCCCTGGCAGTCCAGCAGCTGAGAATCCGCCTTCCAATGGAGGGGACGGTGGGTTGGGTTCCTAGTCTGGGAACCAAGACCCCACATGCTGCAAGGCAACTATGCCCATGTGCTGCAACTAGAGAAAGCCTGTGCACCACAACAAAGACCTAGCACAGCCGAAAAAACAAGAGAGAAATTCAGCAGTAGTCCTGGATATCAAAGGCCTCTTGAAATTGAGGGTTCCCTATATTCGAAGTTTTTAAACAGCTTAAGCAGAAATGAATAACCATCCATTCACATGCTCTAAAAATGATTTTTGTATTGAATAAGCAGTAGAAAGGGATGAACCTTAGGTTCCTCTCAGGACTGAGATTCTACATTCTAGTGGAAGATCTAAAGTATAATTGGAATCAAGCAAACATGGATTTGGGCTAATTCCCGAGTTAGTACATACGGATTGTGGTCTATTTACTCTCTAATGCTAACCAAATGTCAGAAAACTCAGTGCTGATTCTCATTTCTAAGCATGTAATGATCATTTTTATAATTATTTCACAGTATTTACTCTAAATCCTTTCTCCTTTTTGCTTTTAAAAAAAAACATTGAGCTAAAATAGGCATTTACAGCTATTGTATTTTACAATATTCGTGAATTTTATATCTTATTCTCAGTTACCCTAAAGTTACATCAAAATGATAACCATTTTCCCAGGAAGCACCATACATAACCTCTTCATTTGCTGCTAATTTAGGTGTGCTCCCTGCATGGTGTCCTAATTGCACCTTTGTTATCTGTTCTCAGATGACTCCTTTAATCAGCCAGGCCTGCGAAGTGCTCCTGGCTCACCTAGGGCGTTACGCACAATCCGGGGAGGCTTTTGACATCCAGAGGTAAGGGCACTGCGTGGCTATATTATAGATGAGAAATCATATTTTTAAACGGCTGCTTCTTGCAACTCTACATAATTGCTGAACAATTACCTTGGGACCAACAAACTATGGAAATGCTTACAAGCTCCAAAAAGTGTGGCTGGACTAAGAAGAAGAAATGAAACCCATGGAAAATGTGAAGCAAATACAAATAAAGCCCCAGGGTCTGTGACTTGTGCAGGGAACCCTGAGTGGGTGTGTTTTGTGGGGAGACTTGCCCTCTGACCTCTGTAGACCCAGGAGTGAGCAAGATATGTCTGCGCAGAAAGGACAGGGTCTGGGGGGGTGCAGTCCATGCAGTTTTAATTCAAGAAAAACTGTGCCCCTCCGCCCCTAGCCTGAAAGTCATGACTTAGCAGTGGAGCCTCAATTTAAACAACTGATTGTCTGGCTTTTTGCCTAATTGACCTCTGCTAAATTATGGTTTATATCAGATTAAGAGTCACACAGCAGATCAGCCAGAAGCCAGCTCGCTCTCATTATCAATGTTAATAAAATCATAACATAATCATCACCAGCATTTACATTCTACCATATTGTTTACAAAATTCTCTCCTCCACATTCTCTCTGGTCATGACATGCATGAGCTGGGAGTTGGGTGCTCAGTTGGTCCAGCAGCCATAAAAGCAAAGTTAATAACTCTTAAAACCTTTACATCCTCAATGTTTAGGATCAGATGAAATCACATTCAGCAGTCGCATTGTTGTTTTTGCTGTCACTGGGAAATGTGTAATCAATTGTAGAGATGTTCTCAGTAAAAGAGGTCAAAATAAAATGCGTCATCTGGAGATGTCAGGTAGTCCTTAATGATAAGTGGTTACAGAATTTATGAAGAAGAGGAACTAAGGGTGTACCTATGTCAAGCCACAAAAATAGACCCTTTCATTAGCAAAGGATATGAATTCCCAGCTGTTAGCCTTTTTAGAAGCAACCTAAGTACCCCTACAAAGAAAACCAAAAAAGGTTATTCTCTTAGAGCTTAAAATGGCCATTTGAGGGGCAGGTTTCCTAGAGCCTAAGAGGTTAATTTTTCTGGAGCTACTGATAGACACTTTTCCTTCTGTTTGTTTCTAAAGTGCAATGTGTGTTTCCTGTAATAATATACATATGTTCATGAAACTGCTCCCAAAGTTTGTCTTGTGTTTATTTGAGTGTAAAGGGGCCCTGGTTTTTTTTTTTATCTGTTGCTCCGATGAAAACTGTAAAACAATTAGGAGGAAGAGGGAGACAGAGTTAATAAGACTAGACAATCAGCTTGCTATTAATAATTTCATCAATCACAACTTGGTCTATCTACATCAGTCAGTCGTTAGACACTGGCCTTGGAAGGGCTCTGCACAGCTTTGGAGTAAAGCACATAGACTCTGGGCCAAGTGTTTTCCCTCCTTCATGGGGAGGAAAAAGTAAAGTGTATTTCTTGGTATTTGACTTTGTCAGGATGACCCCATCTTTGTCTAGATCAGCTCCCTGTTACGTATTTATGTCTCCCCTTGAATGGGCTTCCCAGGTGGCTCAGTGGATAAAGAATCTGTCTGCAATGCAGAAACCTCAGGAGACCTGGGTTTGATCCCTGGATGGGGAAGATCCCCTGGAGAAGGGAATGGCCACCCACTCCAGTATCCTTGCCTGGAGAATCCCATGGACAGAGGAGCCTGGCAGGCTACAGTCCATGGGGTCACAGAGTCAGACACGACTGAAATGACTGAACACACACACACACTCCCCTTGAATTCTGCTGTCACCCTCCCAGGATCTCACTCTGATGTGGTAGGGGGGAGGGTTCCTCTCCTACCAGCCCACTCCAGATCTGCTGGAGCCCCACTTTGAACAGGTAGATGGTGGAGTCGTGCACTCTGGGAGGAAGTGGATGGGGAGGCCAGTGGCCACCTCCTTCCTGAACACAAATGGTTCCCTCCCCTGTAGGACCTACTGCTGCTACACCACAGATGTGGTGGCCAGTGTCGCCTTCGGCACCGAAGTGGACTCCCAGGAGGCTCCTGAGCACCCCTTCGTGGAGCACTGCAGGCGCTTCTTTGCATCCTCTATCCCCAAACCTCTCCTGGTTTTACTCTGTAAGTAAAAAAAAGTAAAAAAAAAAAAAAGCAGTCGGCAGCTGCTGCCGACCGGGGTAAACTGGGCAAGTTGGGCAGACCCCGTGGCACCCCAGTGGCCTCGGGTAGCTTCGGGGCTCCACCCCAGACACCAGGAAAAGGGCACTCGGGGTGACTCTGAGTCACCCTGTGGAGTCTGCCCTGCAGAGCCCTGGTCTCCCTGGAGATGCACAGGCTCCTCTGCACCAACCTGGGGCCACTTAGCCACACAGGCAGGCCTGGCCCAGCTCACCGTCCCCGCAGTGAGCACAGCCGCAGTGCACGGGGCTGAGAGGCCTGCTGCACTGCCTCTGCTAGAGCCTGTTTTCACCCCATGAGGAAGGCATTCTCCTCCCCACTTCACAGATGAGAAAACTGAGGCTGGAAAGGCAGAGCCAAGACGGAAACCTAAAACCTTTCATTTTCTAGGACATATTCCTCCCCTCCAGCAAAACCCTCTTTAGAACACCACTCTGCTTGAAGTCCAACACATAGTGAATGAGAAACCAAGTGATGGGTGACTAGCAGATTACCCAATGGTAAGGAGACCGGTCCATTTATCTTATTTCTATTTTAGAAGTGAGTGTTTACCCTCTGGCCAATTCCAGTGTCTTCTTGCTTTTATGGAAGCACTGCAGTGTTGTTATTATGGTTATTGATTATTGCCATAAGTCCAAACCATTCTGCTGGGCTGGTAAATTCTATTTCCTTCCTTGGTCAGTTTCATTCCCATTTCTGAGTCAATTTCTGTGGAAGCCCCTGTCACCTCCATCTGCTCTGCACTGATACTGTATAGCAGTTGTCGCTATGGCAGTCAAAGCACAGAGGGTTACCCCTCACCCTCTATACCCCAGGGGAACTGGCTCCCCTTGCCATCAACCACAGGGCATCATGTGCACTGCAGGGCACATGGGTCCACTTCCCATGGTGGCTGCCACTCCAAGCCCTCCCTCCCTGCTGTGTCATTTTGGTGCAGGCCCCTGCTCTTGAAAATGGGCAGAGCCTGTTGAGACATGTATGGATCAGAAGGGTCCTCTCCCCCAACTCCCGCGTGTGCCTGTGCACGGGAGACCCTCCATGATTGCTGAGGATCTGAACTGAGCCACGCTCCCCAGGGACAGGCTTGGCCCCCATGGTTCAAGCTATCATCCAGGAGGGAATAAGTGGCAGCTCTGGGGAAAATGATCCAAAGGAAAAAACAAAAAATGCAAATGACCAGAAAGTTAAAAAAGGAGATCGGCTTCTACCACTTGCTAAGACTTGAAACATGGCCTGCAATCTCTTCTTTCCTGATGAAATACACAAACCTTGGACCCTCCTATCTAGGTCTAGGGAAATTAACTTATAAACATGAGACTGGCTGCTTGAGGGCCAGATGGAAGTGGGCCCTCAAGTGAAGCCCCACTTCCATCGTAAAGACGTTTATCGAGCGCTTACTTCATGCAAGGAAGAGTGAGGAGTCCAGAGGTAGAACCCTGCTCTGAGCAGTGGCAATTCAGAGGGGAAGACAGGCCTTCAAAAGACTAATTCAAGGCCCGGGCTTGCTTCCTGGCAACAGGCATCTAATAGCCCTGGTTTATTCTCACCCTCTTTTCAATGCCACTTTTGTTTTTCTCTTTCAAGTATCATTTCCATCCATAATGGTCCCACTGGCCCGGATTTTGCCCAATAAGAACCAAGATGAACTGAATGGCTTTTTTAACAAACTCATTAGGAATGTGATTGCCTTGCGGGACCAGCAAGCAGCCGAAGAGGTAACGTATTTTAATAGGACACGGCGTTGAAATGGAATAGAAGCTAATTTGGCATCGCTGTCTGCTTTCTCTCCCTCCCCTCCCAGCCCCACACACTCACGCCATGCTGTCCTTCAGTGGCCTAGCACTTAGAGCTTGCCGGGCGGCCAAGAGAGAGAAGGCGGGTGGGAGGCGGGGAGGCAGAGGAGGAACAAAAAAGGAGAGAGAGGTGAAAGCAGGCAGGAAGGACGGCGGGGAGCAGCAGCCCAGAGCAATCTGTCCACCCTCTGACCCAGGGGAGTAGAATTAAAGCTGCCCTCCCCTCAAGCTCACAGGCCGCCTTATTTCAAGCATCACCCCCAGCACAGGTTATGGCCACCCCAGAGAATTTTCTAGATAAATCTGCCCACATGTGCTTTTCATCACTATATTCTTTATATTGAAAAACAGCAAGATGGAGCGTTACAGCATGAACAGCATCGTTTTGAGAGGGGAGTTCAGGCAGCTGTCACCAATCCCACAAACCCTCTCTGCATGGAGGGATGGAGGGTGTTACGGCAAAAGGCATGGCTGAGGGCCCTCACGTGCTTCACTGAGAGCTAGAAATTTCTTTCCCCTTTGTGACTATTCCCTACGCTTGGACACGTAGGAATCGAGTAAATATTTGTTGATTGAACTTGGCTGAAAATAGAAATAGGAATGTTCAGTGTTAAGGAAAATAGTTTCAATATTGGATATGCTCGTGCATGTATAATGCTATTCTTTATGGGCCTTACTCTAGTCAAGAAAATTGCTGAAAAGGAAAAAAACAGGGCTGAAATGTCTCTTCCTGAATTGGCTTGCATAAGATGTAGCTTTAAAAGTGTTTTCTCGGGCTTCCTGGGGTGCTCAGTGGTAAAGAATCCGCCTGCCAATGCAGGGGATGTGGGTTCCATCCCTGGTCCGGAAAGATTCCACATGCCACGAAGCAGCTCAGCCAGTGCGCCACAACTATCAAGCCTGTGTCCCAAAGCCTGGGAGCTGCAATTACTGAGCCCAAGTGCCCCAACTCCTGAAGCCCCTGTGTGCTAGAGCGTGCGCTCTGCAACAAGAGAAGGCACCACAGTGAGAAACCTGCCTATCCCAACTAGAGAGTAGCCCCTACTCGCTACAACTACAGAAAAGCCCACACAGCAACAAAGACCCAGCACAACCAAACTTAAAAATAAATAAAAAGGGACCTTCCCTGGTGGTCTGGTGGTTAAGAATCTGCCTTCCAATGCAAGGGATGCAGGTTTGAACCCTGCTTGAAGAACTAAGATCCCACATTCCACCTGATGACTAAGCCACAATGAAAACCTGACACAGCCAAGTAAACAAACATTTTAAAACACAAATAAATAAAATTATATTTTTAAGGTGTTTTCTCAAAGACTGGGCAGGTCAGAGAGGTTACCAAGGGGAAGATGTGTGGTCCAGTGTCATCATGCTGGCCGAAGATGAGATCAAGGCAGACGCAGTCAGTTAGTGGCCAGTCGCATGGAATAGCCTCTACCTGCCCCAGCTTCACATTCTGGACACTGTGCAGCAAAGGTATCCTTGTCCAGAAGGTGGGGGAAGGTGCAGACAAGCTTGCCCTTTGGCCCATACCACTTGGAACTCAACCTGCCACCCTTAGAGGTGTGAGAAGAATCAGTTCCTGGTGTCCTTGGCCCAGCTCCGCCATCTGAAAGGACAGAACATTCTTATCCAGGTCCATGCTTCTCCAGGGTGAGCCTGGGGAAGGAGGGATGAGCAAAGTCCCGTTTTCAAACCTTAATACTACTGTGAAGGCCTTCCTTCATGCGTGTAAGGTTTGTCACACACCCCTCCTACCCCTAGCCTGAAACCCAATGGTGGTGGAATCAGGCTGAAAATTCTCAAACTGTTGCACCAAATAGCTTGCTAAGAGGTGAAGGGTTATTAAAGATCCAATTACTAGGATTGCCTGAAGCTTTTCCTTTTTTAAACTCAAGAGCTATTTGTTTCAAACAACAAGTTGATCTGAGAAAAACCTCCCAACCATGAATCCAGGACTGCCCGTGTCAAGACAGAGCTATATAGTTACTAAGAAAACTTGCTTTAAACCCATCTAAACTCCGTAGACATTCCATCAAGCAGATGTGTGTTTGCACAGTGGAAAATGCAGCACAGATGTTAAAAGGTAAATATTTTTCTAAGCTCTCGCCAATGGATGGATTAGACACCTACATCTATCAGGGTGCATATTTTTCTTGGATATAACCATAAACCAGCACTGTTGCAGGCCTAAATGGGCAGTGTTCAAATAGCCTCTGTGATACAGTGCAAATAAAAGGAACCCATCAACACTAATGCTTCTCTCCAGCGCACAGGCCCCAGAGAGCCGCCCTTTCCTCTGGCTTCTGGGGTTGGAGGTTAAGACAGATTTCTATAAGGCTCGGCAGCTCTGAAGCAGCCTGGCTGAGGGGGGATGAGAGGAAAGGATGCCAGCTGCAGCTCTGCCCCAGGGTAGACCCAATGAGGTGGATGTGGCTTTGCCCTCCCTTCCCCCATTGTCCTCATGTGACTCCAGCAAAGCCACAAGAAAGCTTCGGGGATTGCAACCATATAGCATCTGAGGAGTTTCAAATGGGTTGGCCAAAAGAGAGCCTGGGATGCTCTGGGGTCCCCGAATGGCATCTGGGAGCTGAGAGAGCTCACCTCCCATTCATGCCATCATGCCTGGCCCCGGGACCAGGGTTAGAGTCTCAGATGTTGCCCAGGCAACAGAAAGGAAGCTGGGGAAAGTCAGCCCTGTGGATGCTGTTTGGGAAGCAGATTGAGCAGGGCCAGGGTGGAAAGAGAGGGGCAAGGGCCATCCTCTCAGCCAATCCCATGCAAGCAGGCTGGCAGTATGTGGGGCCTTGCCTCCCTAAGTCTCAAGATTCTTGTGGCCCACAGGCTGAGCTGGGAGCCCCACTGGAATCTCCACAGAAGACACCTTCCAACCAGTAGAGCTGCAAGGGTGTCATGACCCAAGAGTCTCATGATCTAAGGGGGTCACAACCCAAGGGTCTCATGATCTAAGGGTCTCATGATCCAAGATTCCTGCTCCAAAGCATGCAGTAACAAGTAAATCCAACACAACCTTCCTCAAAATACACTTTGGACACTGCAGGTTTATTAGTATTTGTGGAGTTGTTGATTGCAAACCTAACATGTGCTTGGCCCAATACAGGCATGGGGTAGGGATGGGGGTGAGGGTAGGGCACAGGATCCTGCCCTGGAGATGCAAGCAACCCTGTGTGAACTGACAACCATCTTTGTTGTTGTTGTTGTTGTTGTTGTTGTTTAGTCGCTAAGTCGTATCTGACTCTTTGCGACCCCATGGACTGTAGCCTGCCACGCTCCTTTGTTCATGGGATTTCCCAGGTAAGAACACTGGCGTGGGTTGCCATTTCCTTCTTCAAACAACCTCCTTAAAAGATGCTAATGTGTGTGACATAGATTATGGATTCAATAGAAATCCAGAAGCCAAAGAACTGAGAAAATAATGCAAACAAGTCAAGAACTTTGAAATGATCATTTTTTCTCTTGGTGGTTCTAATACTCGCCCTTTTGGTGTTGAGTCCCATAGACTTCAGAACAGAGAGAGAAACCCATCGGTGGTCCTTCATCACATTCAAGAGCTGTTCAAAGATGAGATGTATCAGGGACACACTTTGTCAACGCTAAAGTGAAAGTCGCTCAGTTGTGTCTAACTCTTTGAGATCCCATGGACTGAATTCTCCAGGCCAGAATACTGGAGTAGGTAGCCAGTTCCTTCTCCAGGAGATCTTACCAACCCAAGGATCGAACCCAGGTCTTCTGCATTGCAGGCAGATTCTTTACCAGCTGAGCTACCAGCTGTGTTAGCACTAAAGTAATACATAAACACTCCATTGTTATACTTAGGAGTAGTATAAATAGAGAGAATCTGCAAACTACTGATAAGGAAGGAGGGGGAAATGGTGAAAAAGCTTTAACTTAAATGGGGCAGGAGATTACTGAGGATAGCAGGGACCCAACCTGAGGAGGATGAGCAAAATGCAGGCTGGAGACTTGGAAGGCAGGCTTCTTCAGATGAGTTCCCTCCCTGGCCCCAGGTCCTGTGAACTCCCTGTTGAGACAAAAACTAGACACAGAAGTCTGCCCTGGAGGGTGGGGTATGAACAATGGAGCACTTACTTTGATTTATATTTTAAATATTTATCTATTTGGCTGCGCCTGGGCAGGCAGGATCCTTAGTTGCGGCATGCAAACTCTTAGTCGCAGCATGTGGGATTTAGTTCCTTGACCAGGGATCGAACCCAGGCCTCCTGCACTGGGAGTGCAGAGTCTTAGCCCCTGGACCACCAGGGAAGTCCCTAATTTAATTCTATATGATGCTCGGATTGCTTTATTATCGGAAAAACCAACCAACCAACCAACAATACAAACGCAGATGAAGGAAAATAATAAAAACCTCCCTGGTTTTCCCAGCTCCCTCAGCTCACCGTGAACTGCTGGGTAGGATGTTGCTAAACATTTTCTACATGTGGACACATGTAATCACAGACATTGTCCAGGTGCCGTTCTTACAGACATGAGGTTCTGCTATACATCCTGTTCAGCAACTTGCTCTCTTTACTTATCAAAGTGGCTTAACAGCTTCCTGAATCAGCCTGGAAGAACGGCCTCATGCTGTATCGGCAGCAACACCGTCTGCTGCTGGCTGTACTCAGTGCCATAATGAGGGGCGCTGGGAGGGTGAGGTCCCAGGTTCCCCCCATCTCAGACAATCCCGCAAAGAAAATCCTTGTTCCTGTGGACTCTTTGAAAGCTGCATGTTCTCATCTTCTTTTTGCTGTGAGAGTGCTCTCTTATGTGACTCTAAGGCCCAAACGTGTGTTTTCTTCTTTCCTCCCTTAGAGGCGTAGAGATTTCCTCCAAATGGTCCAGGATGTGCGCCATTCTGCCGCCACCATAGGCGTGGAGAATTTTGATATCGTCCGTCAGGTCTTTTCTGCCACCAAATACCCAGCGAACCCTTCCCAGCGACACCCACCCAGACCCCTGTCCAAGTCTTTGAGTGTGGATGAGGTGGTGGGCCAGGCCTTCATCTTCCTTATCGCTGGCTACGAGATCGTCACCAACACTCTCTCTTTTGCCACCTACCTCCTGGCCACCAACCCTGAGTGCCAAGAGAAGCTTCTGGAAGAGGTGGACCGTTTCAGCAAGAAACATGTGAGTACAGTCATCTGTGTGGCTTTGTGTTCATCAAAGTGAAACTCACTTGCTAAAATCACATTCTAAGTGTATAAGCATGCTGTAGCCCAACTTCTCCATCTCTCTGGGTTAACAAGTAAAATGGAGTACTCAGAACAACATAGAGGAAAAAAAAAAAGAATTGTCACATGCCTTCATTGCCTGGGATGGTCCATGAACCAAGCCTGGCTCAGGAAAAATGCAGAACCCCAGGCAGTCAGAGGTCAAAGGTCAGGGAAAGGGAAGGAGACCTGATTTCCCAACACTCTGTGGATTCTCCATGCTCAGGGAAGTGGGAGTCAGCCAGAAAATGGGGCCAAGTGGAAGACAGAAGCAGGCCTAAGGACAAGCCAAGTCAACGCAGGAATGGAGATGGGGAGAGTGCTAGGGAAGAGGTCTGGGAATGGAGTGACTGAAACAGGGCTGGATTCTTAGATATTCCTTCTAGATGGGGCTGCTCATTGCTGGACCAGAAGTAAACTTTAGGGTGCAGAGCTTGGCTACTTCTTCACATCATTTTTTCCTGGATGCTTATGTGTGCATTACTTTAACTTATGAGCTGTTAAAGAAAGTCATTTAAAAAATCTGTGCTGTCAAAGGAAGACCACCATAATAGAATCCTTTCTAATACATTCTGATGATGTAAGGACTATTACATTCACAATGTTGGGAGGAGAGCTGTTCCATTGTAGGAACTGTCAGAATTTTTTTTCATATATTGAGTTGAAAACCGATTCCCAGGAAATTCCACTTGCTTATTCCACTGGGGAAAGTATTGGGTTGGCCAAAAAGTTTGGGTTTTTTTGATGCAAGGTTAGCTTTTCTTTTGAAAACTACATTAACTGTGTTGCTAGTTGCCTCAACTTCTGGCTCATTGAGAGCTTGTGGTCAACTTAAAGTCCTGTAATGTTTTGACATCTGCCAAGCCAGGTTTCCCCAGTCCATTGCTTGGACTATTGATTTTCTGAGCCTAGATGCAAGAGTATATATTTATCCTTATTACTGCTCAAGTCAGTCAAAATAATTCTGAATCTTGATTCTGGCATCTGTCATATTATAATTCCTCCAGCTTTGTGTCATCTGGGACTTGCTCAGCTTGTCTCCTATTTCATCCAAGTCATTGATTAAAGTGTTGAACAGGACAAGTCTTCCCTCCAGGTTGACATTGATCTATTAATCAATATTCTTTGGGCAAGGAGTCTCAACAAGTGATGAATTCAAATAATCCTACCACCTCCTACCATCACCCATCTCATCCTATTTCATACATAGTTGTGTTTTTGTTTTCAGTTGAGATGGGGATGGAGGAAGGAACAAAGATGATTGGGGTACATTACTGCAAGAGAAAAACAGGGAGCTGAAGGTATATTAGGATGCTGTTTGGGGCAGGTGACAAGACCCCAAACCAAACTGACTTAAGAACTAAAAAAAAGGCAGGGAGACGCTTATGAATACAGATAATTGAGCAGCTTAGGAATAGATGATGTTGTTGTTTAGTCACTAAGTTATAGCCGACTCTTTGTGACCCCATGGACTATATAGCCTGTCAGACTCCTCTGTGCATGGGATTTTCCAGGCAAGAATAATGGAGTGCATTGTCATTCCTTTCTCCAGGGGCTCTTCCTGACCCAGGGATCAAACCTGCTTTTCCTGCATTGACAGGTAGATTCTTTATCACTGAGACACCAGGGAAGTCCAGTAATAGATGTGGCTTCAAACAAATCTTTATCTAGGCTCAAAGATGGGCTCTGGTCCTAGTTTCTCCCCACTTCTTGGCTGGGCTCTCTTCATATTGGTCCCATTCTCAGGTGTTCCCTTCTCTTGAAGCCCCAGGCAACCTGCTGAGAACATCTGGGAGACAGGCTTCCACTCATAACCAAAGGAGAAGAGTCTTTGACCCCAAATTCTCAGCAAGAGTCATTGGGTTCACTCTGGTCAGAATGCTTAGGTCACTGCCCATTCTTGAACAGACTATTGTGGCCAAGAGAACAGGGGCATGGGTGGGCTTAAGTCAATCCACCCTACCCTCAGAGTCAACTGTAGCCAAGTCCTATGACTAAGAACTTGGGAGCGGACACTCTGGCAGTTACTCCAGGAGGTGGTCAAGGCAGAAGAGGCAATTCAGCCCCCTGGTCTCAAATAAACCAGGAGGCAGGTCAAACTAAAGACTTTCACGCATCTGAAGAGTGGTCTACCATGGAGTGGATGTGGTGGTGGGTTGGAGAGGGGGCAACAGCTCTGAGAGGTAGAAGTCATGACTCACCTTCAGGGAATTTAATTGCCAATTAAAACAATAGTCTATGTCTATTACAACAGTACCTCCTTCCAAGTGAAATTCTCCAGGGCAACAGAAGGCAGCACTTGATCGAGTCTAGAATGAGTGATGTCATGCAGAGACCTTGGGGCTCTAGGAGTCTGTCCCACCAGCTACTCTGTAATTCCATCTTGTTATGTTCATCCATCAGGAGAATACAGAGCGGGTTTCCACAGACCTGCATTCAGAGACCTTCGACACACAGCCCCTTACCTCTGAGGTGGCCTAAACTGACCTTGACCTTGAGGAGGGCGATACTATCTCACTTTACCCTGCGCTCCTTCAAATCCCCTCGGCCTAGGATGGGGGCTTCTTTCCTCAGAGAACTACCTCCTATGGGACTGTGCAAAATGTGTGTGTGTGTGTGTGTGTATGCATGCATGTGCATTCATGCTCAGTTGTGTCCAACTCTTTGTGACCTCCATGGGCTGTAGCCCGCCAGGCTCCTCTGTCCGTGAAATTTTCCAGGCAAGAACAGTGGAGTGGTTTGCCATTTCCTTCTCCAGGGGAACTTCCCCACCCAGGGATAGAACCTGCATCTTTTGTGTCCCCTGAATGTTGCCAGTCAAATAAACAGATTTTAGGAGGTATAGTTTCTCAAACTTTAGCATACAGAAAATCATCTAGGAAGTCTGTTAAGATGTAGAGTCTAGGGCCCTTTACACAGAGATTCTCCTTCCATAAGTCTGGGCCAGGGCCAATGAACCCCCATTTTAAATACATGTCCCAGGTGATTTTCATGCAGATGATCTCTGTTTCTACCTTGAGAATATAACCTTTGTACCCAATGCCCTGCTCCAGCTATGCAAACTCCAGGGTCATTTTCTCTCTCCAGGTAACAGCTGGGACTGTCTCTGAAAAATGGGAAGTATATAGAAATGGTCTATAAATCAAATAAATTTGGCAGTCACAATAGTGTTAATAGTTGTATAGCCTTGCACATGGTATACATGCAATAAATATTTTCAGGTTCTCTTTTTTTCTGTTCATTTTTTTTTCCTATAATCAGAGTTCTGTTAATATGGGCCATCTGTCAGAACATGGAAATGCAGATTAGCTGTTCACACATTAGATATTTTCCTGAAAATATTCCTGAAAATTTGCATGTAAAGTAGGCCTTGTGATAATTTTCCTGCTGGTTTCTATTCAACAAATATTTTTTGAGTGCCAGTTAATGCCAGAGTCAGGCTCCAGACATTGCACCCGAGAATGTTCTGACCTAGTTCTTCCATAATATCCCTGAGACCCCCACGCATCTCATTAGATGGTCTCCTCTTGTATTTGTCAATGAGATCATTAGATTNCAAGTGTCTGGTGATGTTCACTTCACAAAGCCAGCCAATGCTTCTTTATTGGTTAGAATGACACCCAGGTTGGCAGTTGGCCTTGTAGTATCCTTTCCCAGTGAAGAGGGGAAATTGTCCGTGATAAGGTCACTAATACAGGGACTCTCCTTGAACAGATTGAACGTCTGGCAGATATAGGACTACTCCAAGGTCTTCCTTCACTATTGAGGATTATCTTAATACATATTTTACAATCCACTTATTTGCTTTGGTAATACCCTACCTCTCACCATCCTTTTTGATTCAAGTGGCCTTGATTACATCTCTCCTTTCAGGGCAGAGATCTCTGTTCCAGATATAAAACAGCTATGTGTGTGCTCGGTGGCTGTCACGTCTGACTCTTTGGGACCCCATGGATTGTAGCCTGCCAGGCTCCTCTGTTCATGGGATTTCCCAGGCAAGAATACTGGAGTGGATTGCCATTTCCTATTCCAGGGGATCTTCCTGACCCATGGATTGAACCCACGTCTCCTGCATTTCCTGTATTAGCAGGTGGATTCTCTACAACTGAGCCAATTGGGAAGCCTGTAATATAGCTACAATCCATTCTCTAATTCATGCCTAGGGCTACTTCTTTCTAGAACATGTATGTTTTTTCCCAAATCATCTGACTTTGGAATCATGTATTTGGCTTCCCCTCCTTTCACAAAATCTTCTTTCTCAAATCACCAATCTCTTGGCGAACTCTTGCTTTCCCCATGTGTTTCCTTATTCATCTTAAAGGGGAGGTACCTTCATTAAATTCAGTAGTGGAGGAGCAGGGAAAAATTTGTACCATTTGGACCACTCATAAAATTGAGAAAACATGCCAATTATTTAATAAGACCTCTGTACTATGGATGCTTCATTGTGTTCTCCAATACCTAATTTTGACAAGGATGAGAGGAGGGGAAAAAAAAAACTTCTTTCCATATAAATTGTTTTTGCTATAGCTTTAGCACTTTATGTTGAAATTATTGACTTTTGATCTGGCTAAACCATTCTCTTCTATTCTTGTTGGTGCTGGACTGTGCCAGCCAAAATTTATGACCCATTTTCCTTCTGTTTAATTGTTGTTATAAATCTGCTGTGAAGAACCTAGTTGTAAATTTATCACAAATTGGACTAGATTGATATACAGCCTCTCTTTAGGATAATTTGAGCACAGTTATGCCTTAGAAGGAAGGCCAAATTCTTAACTTCTCTTGAGGAGCTGCTTTGTAACCATTATAAATACCTAATTAAAATACAACTTACTCTCTTTTTCTCTTAAGGATAAAAGAGCATTTCATGCTGGGTATTTCAGCTGATTAGCTCATACTGCTAATATGAGCAAGGCT